GATTGATATTCCAATGTACAAGTTATAAAAACTACCCACTTTGTTTCAGAAAATGCAGTATGGCTAATATACACCCATTAGAGATGGCACTTTTAATAACCCTGGTCATATTGGGTCAGATATTCATTATACAACTAATAGCTATGCATGTACAGTATATAGTCCCTGTAAGCGGGTACATTCAATACTCCCTTGCCATTTGTGAGAACATTACAGCACTTAGAGATGATGCATTGTGCATCAGGGCTGTAATTATAGAACTACAATACTTATTAGCATGTCAGAGTCACTGACCTTAACATTTCAGCACAAAAAACAACACTTGTGTAGTGTTAATAATGATACAGATAGATCAACCACTGAACGGATTGACAAGCACTCTTTCTTACCTGAGTAAAACAGCACGGTTAAGATGAGCAGTCTCAGATTCTGCATATCGGCTCTGAACACATTCACACATGGAAAGAAGATTTAAATTATAAGCACTGACACTGTAAATTTCATTGGTATATTGCTGAAGTTTTCTCACATTCCAGCTAGGAACAAAAATTATGAAAACTACTGATAAAAATGACAGGTTTATTGGCAAATGGACACAGATCGATTGAGTGCTTTGATGTGGAGCTGTGAATAGGGTGTGACTGTAAAACAATCTACTTTATGTTAATGTTAGACAGATGTCTATGACTGTTTTTCAGCTTTTATGGGTGGTGTCAGCTTTGGCTTAGATCATCAGGCCATGGATCTAAAAGGGCTCTGTTGACAAATTAGCTTGTTTAAAGAGCTACTTTAAATTCTACAATTGTAATTGTGGGTTTATTGGCTTGTCTTGTGCATTGCTTATAACCAACATTGATCTAGTATCTCAGAGGGGTTTATAATAAATAACAAGCAACAATCTTGTTTCAGTTTATTCATTATTGAGATTCCCAGTTAAGAGATCTCAGAAATAAAATTCATTATAAATTATACTTTTAGGTGCAGTGCTGTCTGTATAAATGGAATGAGAAGCATATGACATCAACTGGGTGGATATTTATCTTCATTATCAGGATATTTAATGACTGAAGATATTAAAAATGTGAGAGAAAATGAAATCTGACAATCTATCTGTTAGCCCAGTTTGTTCTTCAAAAAGTCTATCTCTGATGTTTAAAACTGAATGACGTGTTTCAATTATGCAGAAAAATGCAGAACTTTCATTTCAGAGCAGATTTCATGTGGGCCTACTCATAACTATTTCTATATAAAAAATAAAAAAAATAAAAAAAATAAACATATATATATGTATATTTATTTCTAGGGTGGCTTTTCAATTATGTCAGGTACCAATCTTTAGAATTAACAGATTCCTATTCAAAATACTAATAATAATGTCAATTAAACATTTTGGAGTAAAACATAAAATATATTCACTACAGAAATGTCAAAGATTTTATTGATTTTCATTACATTTACTGATATAGGAAATAGGAAATTCCCTGATATTTCAAGATTTTCTGTGACAGTAGAAACCCTTACATTTTTTGATGCACAAAATATAATAAATGCTAAACTTACACTTATCATAATACATAAATTATAATTATTTTTAATTGTATTACAGATGGGATAATACGATACGATGTATGGTAATCTGTAATGTGGAAATATCAGGACAAACACATTAATTCACAGTCTGAAAGAAGTGATGAAAATCACTTCATGCAATGAAAATCCTAAGAAAACCTTTGCCAGGCCAGACATACTGTATTAGACAGCAAGGAAAGCATCCAGAACAGCAGACGTGCATTTAGGTCATTCAGTGATTTCATAACAGACTTCTGCCCAGATGCTCAGCTATTGCACATTTTATTGCCATTCAGTTGCAAAAAATGAGAAAAACAGCAAATGAACATATATAGTATAGGGCCTATATCTCTCTAGACAATAAGACACGTGCTGATGTGTAAATGCATCAGTGCTGTATTAGTTTCATATGGACAAAGTGCCATCTGGTCCATGCTTTTACTCCTTCTCTTTCTCTCAGTATGACACCTCTTACAGCAAACTTACAGTTCCTCTCCTATAAGACACAGCATATATAAAACATGGGCAACATGGAGGAATAAATGCAGGCCGAGCGACATGGTGCTCACATACTGTACAACAAGCTTTTCTCCTGAGTGCAATTCAAAAGATGAATAGGAGCTCCACACAACCTGCTGCAAATATATGAACTGCAATATTACATATTGGTAAATTATGCCAGAAGCAGGCTGTGTGTAAACCAGGGAAATAAAACAAGATGAACAGGAGCTCAGGGAAATCAACCTCAATCTTTGCAAAGGTGCTGTAGCAAATTCATATGTGGTTATTGATGTTAGAAGCAGGTCATCTCCTAAGAGACCAGGATGGGACATCTGGAAATTACTTCCAGATCATTCCATTCAGACTTATTTGACTACTCTATCTCCTGGATCATAATCTATTTTAAAGCCTTGAATTAGATCAATTCAAGACGATACTGTAGTTAAAAGGGTCTGATGTAAGACATGAAAGGCGATGAGATCATGGCTATGTCTCACAACCTAGTGAGCTGACTAGCTAGGCACCATATTTGGGCTTCATTATGGTTGAGAACATGACGTATAGATAAGCATCTCAATGGGTTTTGAGACACAGTCCGTATGTGTTATGAGCGGCGGGGGCGGCGGCAGCTTTGACTTCCGCGCGCTCACATCTCCCCTCTATTTCTGACGGAAACCTTCTGTTATGATCTGTTCCCCTCCCAATCATAAAACTATTTGCCAGTCAAACAAATTTTCTCTCGGTCACAAGCTGAGAAAGATCGCCTACACATGTACGGGTTATTATGGTGCACGGACGACAAAATTATACAGGCCAGTTGAGCCGCAGTACCGGCAAAATTAGCTATAAATTCCCTGAGAATTATATAAAAAAAAAAATCTAAATTATTATTGTTATTATTACAATTATATTTATAGCTTATCGCTATCAAGTGATTATATTTGCTCTTCACGTCTTAATTTTCCTGTCATTTAATCTGCGCAAAATGCGTATTTTAATGGTAACTTTTCTTATGTTAATACAGGATGCTGAACCGGCGCTCGCGCGCTGACGGGGCATTATGTGATGCTATGCAGAAAAGAGCGCAAATCTATTCTTCAACAAGCCTAAATGCTCGTCTACATCTCTAAATATGCATATTACATCTTATTTTATTCGCGTTCCAACAGCAAACAGCAACTTCATCCAATCGGAAAAGTACCAGACGAAGCAGAAACTGCAGAATTTAACCCTTCAATTCCTGCAAGCCAAAGCCAGCTCCCCGTATATAACATCTCTGCTGCAAAATTGACATTCACCCTTACCGTGTTCTCCGCTCACCTCCAAACTCCTCCTCAGCTGATATCTGTAATAGACTGAAATTCCGTTATTCGTTCCTTTCAACCTCGAAAATCACTTAAGGACTAAGATGCACCTTAGGAATCTGTCCGGTATCTTGCAGCGTCTCGAGTGCGGTCGGTAAAGCCCGGGCGTCTCAACCCCTTATGGGCGTGTCAGCGGATCCGAACACACTCAGCCAACCTTTGCAGAACCGACGTGAAGGTCTTTAAGGTGTTCTTCAGATCGATTCATCACTGAGACCAACGCCCTGAATACAAATGTGCACTAGACCATTTTGTCGTTTTCATATGCATTTTGTTTCGATTTATGTACAGTTTTGAAAGGGCAAAAACGCACAATATTTCTTAATTTTAGGCTCTGAAAGCGTTTATTGAAGTAATATGTTAAAAAATAAGAGGAGCTCATTCTCCCTTAACTAACACTCATCATTCATTGACATCCACCTCACACTCTCCAGCTCTACAAGTGTAGCAGCATCTCATCCAACTCATTATTGTCTTTATAAAACTGAAATATTATGCATCACATATTCATCTTAAGCAATCTGAACTTAAACATACATGTATCAGATTCTGTCATAGACTGGAACAAATGCATTACACAGAAGTCCTTTCCTATGTCATTGTCATTACTTCCTATGGCCCATGGCAGCAGCTTTGGGGGCTGCAGGCTGATTGGACGTGTTGAGAGAGGAAGTGAGAGAATAGGCCTGCAGGTCAACTCTCTGCTGCAGAATGCCAGTCAATAGAAACTCTGTGCTGACCACGGGCAATGACATACTCACTGCCTTATCACAAAGCACCCTGTCCTGCTCACATGACACCACTACAGTGTGCTCCTGAATAGACAGAGGGAGAAATCACAATAAAATATGAGAATATATAATATGTGCATTAAAATAGGAGAATATATGCATTGGTTCTGGGTACCTTGTGAGCAGATGGCATTTTGGGGAGGAAGCGGGCTCCGCAGCAGGTGATAATTTCTTTCATTTGAGATGGTTCCGGCATCACAGAAGGGGTTACGTGAATCTCATAACCCTACGAAAGCAAAATTAGGGGAGAAAATACATGATGGGGATGGTACACTTGAGGCTTGGGCTTGATACACTTATGTGCTTGTGAGGAACTAATACCTTTAAAAGAGGTTGACTTTCAGCAGTTTGCAGTGACTTCTGTAAGCTGAAACTAAACTTTTTCTCCTGCTCGGCGTCTTTCAATATATATTCATCAGTAGAAAGGAAATGGCCAGCTTTTCCACACTGAGAGAGAAATGTTGTCACTGAGAGGATGTTGTCATGCTTAAGTTGAAATAAATCTGTATTTTGTACTAGTTCCACAGCTAGAAACCCTTAAACAGCTTCTTAAATATCTACATACAAACAAATCAGCAATATCACTAGAAACCATTCTTGACCACGAAATGCACGGACAAAACATACATTAACAAATTTCTGGGTTTAGAAAAAAAATGTTAATGTGTGGTGTGAGAGTAGGGTTATTAAGCATCGCCATCAGACACGTGAAGGTTTTTCACACTGTTGTACGCTTTTTTTGTACATTACAAAAAGTACACCTCAGAATTCAACTGAAAAGATATATCAATCAATTAAAGATACAATATTTATTTTATTAAAATGTAATTTCACTTTTTTTTTAAAGTAGTTTAATAAAGAATAAACTTGACATTTTTTATTTGACAAGCAAGCATTTTATAGGAGTAAAGTCAGATATGAATTATGGATTTTAGGTTTGGCTTGGTTTGAACCAGGAACATTCCTTTACTATGCACTCCCTCACCTTTTTTAGCCAATCAGGAGTCACGATTGGCACCCCTCTGGCAACAGCGCACAAAAACTTAACAGTGCGTCTCGCTTTATCAGTCACCAGGTGAGTCATGTCATTCACTCCTCTAGCCAGACTTCCACCTAACCGGGAGACGACTCTTTCTCCATCCTGATCTGTCAGCCCAGTAAATAACACCTAAAAGAGAAGATGACAGATTGGTGTCATCCACAGTGATATAACCTACTAGTAAATGACTGTATTTGAGGGTGCGTGTGACCTTGTGCGCCTGAATAGCCACAGAGCGCCTTGAAGTCTTGGGTGTGGGCGAAGGGGCCTCTTCTGGGGATGCGCTAGTGTTTGCTGCTCTCTTCCGACCTCTGCTGTTGGTTTGGGGCACAGCAGTGCTGTCCTCCACCACCTCAGCATCTTGTTCATGCTCATTGTCCATTCCAACATTTACATTCTCCGCACCAGAACGCCTTCCTCCTCTTCCCCTGCCTTTTCCAGAAGTTTTAGCTTGGGAAACTTCTTCTGGTTCTGGTAGTTTCGTACTCTTCCTGCCTCTGCCTCTTCCTCTCGCCCCTTGGTTCGAAGGTCCGATACTATGAGCAGATTTTTCAGAACTTCTAGAACTGGAGCGGGAACGGGTTGTTGAATTGGAGTCCTGCTCTGTGTCTTCAACTGCACTAGCTGGTCCTCTCCTGCCAGACTGTCTAGCATTGATGGGTTGCTCATCAGTTGTCTGCTTCCCTCGGCCTCGCCCCCTGCCCCGCCCTCGTCCCCTCTGGCTGGACGCCTCCTGTTGTGAGGATACAGACTGATCAGAGTTCATAGAGGAGCTTGAGCAACGGCGTGTTCGTCTGGCCGGAGGAACTAGAGGAGCTTCTAGTTCTGTCTGGTCCTCCTCCAGTCGCTCATTCTTCTGTTCTTTCTGATGGTTTCTCTCCTTTGTCGTTTTTTGTTCTCTTGCTCTCATCTGAAGTCCCTCATTTTCTCGTCTTTCCTTTTCTAATCTTTCCCTTTCTGCCTCTAATCTTTCCTTCTCTATTTGTTCCTTCTCCTTTTGAATTCTTTCCTCTTCTTCTTTTCGTCTTTGCTCTTCTAGTTCTCTCCTCTTCCTCTCCAACCTCTCCTTCTCTTCTTTTTCTAAGCACTCTTTTTCCTCTTTTTCCCTCTGAATTCTCTCTTTTTTTTTTCTCACTTTTTCCCCTTCTTCCCTTTTCAGTCTTTCTTTTTCCTCTAATTCCTTCTGCTCTCTTTTTAGTTTTTGTCTCATTTCAGTTTCAGCCCTCTCCCTTTGTTCACATTCTTCTTGCTTCTTTCTCTCATACTCCAGTCTCTCCTTTTCTTCCCTCTCTGTCTTCTCTCGTTCTTGGAGCTCTTTCTCCATCTTCTCTTTCTCTTCTTGGGCATTCCTCTCCTCCAATCTTTCCTCTTCATTACACTTCAGTTTTATGCCTGTCCGTCTGGTTCCTCTCCTTGTGTTTTGTTCTTCTTCACTCTCTTCCTCTTCCTCAGATAATGCTTTCCCCCTCTTTCTTTTTCCTTCCTGCCCTTTTCTAGTTTTACCTTGGACTTTACTAGATGCAGTTGTCTCACTCTCCACCTCTGTCTTGTCTTTCCTCTGTCTTCTGCTACTTCTGCCAATAAGTTTTTCTTGGGCGCTCTCCTTCTCCACCTCCGTCTTGTCTTTCCTCTGTCTTCTGCTACTTCTGCCACTAGGTTCTTCTTGAGCGTTCTCCTCAACCATGGGCTGTGTTTCAACAACACTGAGATCA